AACATTTCCCGTAGCTAACGCTGTTTTTTTTTTTGCCTGAAATACCGAATGTTCCATTCAAAAGTTATTTTTTTTGCAACCTCATGAAGAATTGTTTTCTACAGGTGTAATATGATCACCACCTCTGTCCCGTTGGACTTTTAAAAATCTGGACTACAAAGCTCAGTTATCATTTCTCTCATAGAAACGACTGGCACAAAGCGACACTCCTTTTCCTTTACTTTAAACCAGCAGCCCCGGCTTTTCTCACCTTTAACACTCAAATCTTCTACAAATCTTGGAAAACATCTACTTTCCCGACAGCCAAGGCCATGGCCTGAAAGCGCAGCGTCTGCTGTCTCGCCACTCCTCCGCTCCGCAGCCTTCTCTCCCTTGCAAACAGAGTGGTGGGCCCAAGCCTCCAAAGCCAGTATAAGAGCAGCTCCTCCCCCAGACTCCAGGGGTTCCCCGCCTTCCCCTCTGCCCAAGGACGCTCCGCCCTCGCCCTCTTCGATGATGGAGGGGTGAAAAAACGCGAGGTCTCACGGAGCGCTGGGAGGAAAGTACACAAGTAAAACCAATGCACAGCTCAAGAGAAGAAACTCAAAAAGAACTTTGAAGTGTGTGGGCTAGGAACATACCTTTAATTTTCATTCAAACATGTAACATGAGTAACTCCTGAAGGAAAAGAAAAGATTAAGAGGCAGCTGCTAGTTTTCATATAACAGAGGCTTGTTAAAATAGTCTCCAAGCAGCCAGGCGGTGGTGGCACACGCCTTTAATCCCAGCACTCAGGAGGCAGAGGCAGGCAGGTCTTTGTGAGTTCGAGTCCGGGCTGGACCGACAGCCTCCAAAACAATACAGAGAGACGCTGTCTCGTAAAACCAAAAAGAAAAAAAAGCCTCCAGGCTGTTTTTGCTTGCGTTTTGTTTTGTATTTTTTTTTTTTTTTGGTGGCAATCTCTTGTACTTGCTTCTCTTCCCCTTTCTCCTCTCTGCCTCTCCCCTCTTCCGTCTCCCCTCTCTCCCGTCTCCCCTCTCAATGACATACACTTAAGTTAAACTCATTATCTCCCTGCTTCAGTCTGGCCAGTGTGGCTACAGGTGACTCAGTTGCATCAGCTAACTAGGTAATTTTTAAGGAGAACCCCTCCATGTCTGGTTACACTAAAATTGGAAAAAATATATGTATTAACAATCAGAGAGTGAAAGAAAGGACATGAAGTTGGCTGAGTGGGGAGGATCTGGGAGGAGTTGTGGGAGAAGTAACTGATCAGACTATATTGTATGAAAATTTTATTTTCAATCAAATATATAAAATTAATTATAAGACTCGCTGAGGCATGGTGGTATATATTTTGTTATCAACCATTTCATTAGGGAAGCCCAACATGCTACACAGTAAAACACTTTCAAAAGAGCAACCAAATGTTGTAAGACCATAAGAAGCCAAATTCAATGATCACCCAGAAATGGAGATGTGATTTCCAGTACAAGCCATCAGATAAACCAAAATACTACTAAGCTTGCTTTTGCATTTCATTAAGACAAAACTGCCTGGCGGTGGTGGTGCACGCCTTTAATCCCAGCACTGGGGAGGCAGATACAGGTGGATCTCTGTGAGTTCGAGACTAACCTGGTCTACCAAGGGTTACAAGAGTTAGTACCAGGACAGCCTCCAAAGCCACAGAGAAACCCTGTCTCTAAAAACCAGAGAGAGAGAGAGAGAGAGAGAGAGAGAGAGAGAGAGAGAGAGAGAGAGAACGTTCAGAGCAGTCTTTAGACTGGTAGATGCTTTTGTTTAGCAATGAGATGTCATTAGTCCTGTGTCACTCTCTCACAACAAAGAAGATTCTGCAATTTCCCTTCCCCTCCACTCTTTTCCTTTAGTGTGTTAGTCCATTTACTGATATCACAATTAGCTAATTGTACTTTTATGTACCTACTAAGTTATCTTAAAAATGTACTATTTAGAAACAAGTAGAAATATATCACTAGAGGTCCAGGGAGATTGCTAAGCAGGTAAATGTGCTTGCAACACAAGCATGGCAAGTTTAATTCAATCCCAGAAGCCACATAAAGGCAGGAGAGAATTGACTTCACAAAGTTGTCATCTTGCCCCACACATAGGGTTGTAGCTCTAGTGTCACACACACACACACACACATGCACGCACACACACACATACACAGAGACATGAATAATAAATGTTTTCAATTACATTTTTTTGGTTTTTCGAGATAGGGTTTCTCTGTATTGTTTTGGAGGCTGTCCTGGAGCTCTCTCTTGTTACCCGCCAGCCTCTGCCTACCAGGTGCTGGGATTAAAGGCATGTGCAACATTTGTTATTATTGTTGTTGTTGTGTGTGTGTGTGTTTGTCCTTTTCATGGCTCATATGTGGACAGCTTTAGGGAGTTAGTTTTCTCCTGCCTCTGTGGGACCTAGAGGTTGAACTCACGTTATTATTTTATGAGTATGAAAGTTTCTTCTGCGTGTATGTATGTGTACCACATGCATATTTGGTGCCTGCAGAAATCAGAAGAGGGCTTCAGATTCCCCAGAACTACACTTACAGAAGATTGTGAGATGCCTTGTGGGTGCTGGGAATCAAACCCACTTGGTAGGCTCAACCAGTGAACCAACTCTCCAGTCCCCAAATTTGACCTTTTAAGATTCCGTATGAGAGATCATGTCTGTGTCTGGCTTATTTCTATTAACATATCCTTCACATTTATTTATGCTTTTAGAAATAATGTGATATCCTTTTTAAAAGACTCAATATTGTGTATATATATTTATCAAATTATTCACCCAAGAGCACAATTTGCTTCCATAACCTGTATAAGTGGTACATGCACATGTGCACACATAAATTTCCTTGAAATGATTATATTGTTTCTTAGAATATATTCTCAGAAGTTAGATTGCTAGATCATATGGTATTTCATGTTTTTGAGGAACGTCATTTTTTTCTAAATTGAGTATACTAATATACATTTCTAGCAATCATGTATAGTAATTGTCCCCCTCTTCTGAATCAACATTTGTTAACTTTTGAATTTTAGGTAATGGCCATCTTAGCAGGTAAAGGATGTTAGATCAGTGATTTTAATCTTACATATTTTTATTTGAATTAGAAACAAGCTAGCTTCACACGTCAATCCCAGCTCCCTCTCACATTCCTCCTCCCCTGCCCCCACCAACCCTCAACCCCCCACCCAGCCCCCACTCCACTCTCCAGGGTGGGTGAGACCCTTCATGGGGGATCTCCAAAGGTTGTCATATCATTTGGGGCAGGGCATTGACCCTCCCCCATGTGTGCAGGCTGAGAGAGCATCCCTTCGTTTGGAATGGGCTCCCAAAGTCCATTCGGATGACAGGGATAAATACTGATCTAGTACCCAAGGCCCCAAAGATTGCTGAGGCCTCCTCACTGACACCCACATTCAGGGAGTTTGGATCAGTCCCACACTGGTTTCTCAGCCATCAGTCTGGGGTCCAAGAGCTCCCCCTTGTTCAGGTCAGCTGTTTCTGTGGGTTTCACGTGCCCAGTCTTGACCCCTTTGCTCATCACTCCTCCCTCTCTGTCACTGGGTTCTAGGAGTTCAAATCAGTGTTTATCTGTGGGTATCTGCCTCTGCTTCCATCAGCCACTGGATGAAGGCTCTAGGATGGCTTTTAAGGTGGTCATCAATCTCATTATCGGGGAAGGGCATTTAAGGTAGCCTCTCCACTATCACTTAGATTGCCAGTTGGTGTCATCCCTGTAGATCTCTAGAAATCTCATTAGTGCCAGATCTCTCCTAAAACTTATAATGACCCCCTCCATTATGGTGTCTCTTATTCTTGCTGATTATATTAGTGCTATTAAGTGTCTTTTTGTCTACCCATTTGTCATTTGCATATATTCATTGGGGAAAAAATATATACTTGTATCCATTGCACTTTTTAAATTGAATTCTTCTTGTGCATTCATATGATTACTAACGGGAAGTTCTCCAAAGAACACATATATATTAAAAGATTCCTAGTTCTTCAGTTCAATAAAATAGTTGCCATCAGGCTGGTGATTTAACTTGGTGGCTAAAGGCACTTGCCACCAGGCTGTCCACCGGAGTTCTAGCCCCAAGATCCACGTAGTAAAAAGAGAGCACTGATTCTTGTAGGTTATACTCTGACCTCCATGTGCAGAAAGTGGCATCCTTCCCTGGCCCCAAAATAAATAAGTGAAAGAATAATAAACGAAATTTAAGAAATGGTTTCTGTGAGTGGAAATCTGGGAAAGTCTCAAAGCAGTTCTTCTAATGCATATCAAGGACATAATGCTAAGAAATGTTGTTGACTAAGAATGGAGGAGATCCGATAAAATTTGTTATTGAAAATCACAAGATCTTGAAGAACAACGCTATTTATAACAAAAAGGCTCTTTTCTAGAGTTGCCTTGTTTTAAAGCTGTTATTGATAATATTTTTCTTTTAAATTAAAAGTGTTTTAAAAACTAATTAAACACAAATATGACAAAACATGTAATAATGTAAATACAAATATTAGTAAGGAAAACAATATCAGGTTCACACAGTGATGCCAGATATCACTTACGTTGTGACCAACATTTCTGAAAATGTTTGGATATCATTGCTAAAAACAAAACATCAGAGAAGTAAACCAAAAACAGCGTAAAGCTTTCAGAAGAAAAAGGACATTTGTACATGAGAGAAAACAAATGGTCTCCACTAAAGAAAGGTCTGTGGCTCCAGAGGAAACATAAGAGCATACCACAGAACATAAGAAATGAACATTCTAAGTTTATTTTATTTTCTTTCATATTTGTTTTATAAACTTCAATTTATGAATGTTTAAATGTATATAATAAAATTTCACTACTATTCTTATACAATTATATATTTGCTAGAAGTCAAATTATTTGGGGATGCATGTCAAAATTCTTTAGAATGGTGCAAAGTAAATGTATGGAAATATAGTCCTTATAGTCTACATAAGTCTTCTCAATTGTCTTCTAGATTTGCAAGGTTTGGGATGATCATCAGAAAAAAGAATAAATTTCCTATATGCTGAGCTCACTGTCAGAAAGGATAACATATTCAAGTATTCAGGTAAGGATTAATTAAACCACAATATGACAAGTTTTGACAAAGATTTGTTTCTTAAAATTTTCAAACAATACAAAAAGGTATATAGGTGTAAAGTTAATCTATTTGTACTGTCACATTATAAAGCTCAGGTTTTACTGCTGATTCTTTTTTTCCTTAATATCTGACTTAGTTTAATTTCTGAGTTCTTCAAATAAATTTAAGACTTTGAGTATAAAGTAAACATTTTTGTATCTAGAAAATTCCTAAAAGTGTAAAAACCAATAAACACATAATGTGAAGCATATCAAGTTTCATGAAAACAATCATATCTACATGCTTAGTAACAGCATTTTTAGAAATTCAAGTTAAAATGATAAAATCAATATTGTATGTGAATCACCTTTTAATATATTAAGAGATTAATAATAGTTTCAAATATATGTTTATGGACTAGAGAGATGGTTCGGCAGTTAAGAACACTTGGTGTTCTTCCAGAGGACTCAGGTTCAGTTTCTAGCACCCACATGGTGGCTCACAACCATCTGTAACTCCAATCATAGGAGAACTGATCATCTTTTCTGGTATCCACAGGTACCAGATACATATGTAATACACAGATATACATTTAGGCAAAACACTCATACACATAAAAATAAGTTAGTTAAAAAATTATACTTACACTTTTCTTTAATATGTGTTTAAGTGCATCTGTTTATATGTGTCTATATGTTTAAATACATACATATAATATATTAATGTACAGTATATTTCAAAAAACGATGGAATAGAGAGGCTTACACTTAAAGGGAAAAACAATCTTAGAATGTACAATATATAATGCAAATATATAGTTTATTTTTTATTTTTCCATCATTAGAGTGAAATATTTGACATATAGCATGTGTTTAAATTTTCAGTATGCCTTGCAGGGCATGGTGGTGAACATCTTTAATCCCAGCACTTGGGATGCAGAGGCTGGTCTGGTAAACAAAACAAGTTCCAGGACTGTCTCAAAAAAAAAAAGAAAAAAGAAAAAAAGAAAAAAATTTAACTATACCAAATTTAATTTATATTGTTTAATGCTGACTGATGTAAATAGATTCTTCGATTCACAAAAGATAAATTTTGTTTTTGTACTTCATTCTGTGCTTTTTATTTAAATATCATATTGCCACTACAGTTCATGGCTAAAACTGTTCCATTCTCTCATGCAATCAATAACCAGGACCAACACTGCTTGACTTCCAGGGTCATTCACATTCAGGGTGATATGGCCATAGATAACTTTTCTGTTCTCTGTGGTGTCTGTGTTCTGATTTTATTTGAGCAGCCACTTTCCCCTAATAGTCTCTTATTTTCTTCCTTCGAATCTGACCCTAATTTAGAACAATAAAACTGTCAAGGTGTTTCTTGCATTCCAATCAACATTGTCTGCTTCCATATAGCTAGAAATTAATACAAAAGTCTCCTCTTACCTTATGAAAAGAAAGATGAAAAATATACTTCAGTGTATTTTTGTCTTCCATTCAAAGTATAAAATGCAACTATCTTTTTTATATGTTGTAGAAAATATCAAATCAAAAGGAGAAAATCAATTTGTACTAGATCAACTTTGCATAGCTAAAGGGTTATTGGTATACATATGCTTCAGTGGCTGTGTTTTGTTAAGATAGATAAAAACATGTTCTTATTCATGTTTTGCAAATATATATGAATACTATCCTATGATTGTTAATTATAATTATGATTATACATTCCGGGAAGATTTTAAAAACTCTTAGCGATTTGTTAGTTTAATACATAAAGTATTCTGATGTTTAATTATGACAATTACTGCTCATGCCTTACATCCAACAAGAAAGGCAATTCTCCATTTTCATGTACTTAATCACTCTAATAAGTGAATCTGTGCCTGTCGGTCTTGCATCTACCTATGTAGTTTGGGGTACCTGTCACAATCTGCAAGACAAGTGTTGGCATCACAGAAAAAAAAAGACTTAAAAAAGTCTTAGAATGGCAGTGAAACAGATTAAACAAAGTATCCATGATTCAGATTTTCCCAGACTATTGCACAGGAGTCAGTTTTTCAATTCAAGATAGATGGAACAAGAATTCATTGCTTGAGACTAAGGGAGGGTCAAATGAAAGGAATGATAAAATTGTAATTCTTATCCGGTCATCCTGGGATGTTTTACATTTTGAATTTTATATCTGGATTCTGACGTCCGTGTTCAAGTTTTTATCTTAGAAATGTCCCCTCTCCCATTTTTCTTTTTATTCTAGCTCTCAGTAATCACAGAGAACAGAAATATCTCACTCTTTAAGTTGTCTGAAATTCAAGTCATTACCTGAAAATCTATAGAAAGAATACTGTATGGCTTATGTTACCAAATATTAATATATACCACATTAAAACCCTCAGATATGCTATTAGTAGCCCATCAGAATCCAGAGCCAAAATTTTCTTTTTTCACATTGATAGCTTTTAATGTAAAAAATATAAATTTTCAGGAGACTAGAAAACTTAATAATGATGACTAGGTACATAGGAGACTATCTATTAATCCCATTGCTTGGCTTTGCTTTTATGTTACCAGTGAACCATGTGAGAGGCAGGTTACCTATTTTATTATTTTAAATATTATAGACATTCTAATCAATACAAATTTGCTTCTCATCTCTGCCACTTAATTGTGCAATTTTAAGTGATTTAGTTAACTGTCATGTATCTTAGTTCCTACTTCAATAAAATATATGTAGGTGTAATACTTACCTTAAGAGTTAAAAATATTCCAAATAATACCTGAAGTCAGAATTATTTGCTGCAACCATATCAATATCTCCATATGTCTCTATGTGTCCCAGGCTATCCTGGAACATACTATGTAGCACAGGCACATTTAGAAGTCACAACAATCCTTCTAATCAGTTTCTCAAATGATGGCATTACACAGGTGAACTAACAACTTGACTCAGAAAGACTACATATGTGGGTCTCTACATCTATGTCTGTTTCTTGTGCCTTTTCTTAGTGTCTTTTCCTTTTATATATTTGTATTATCCTATTCTGATATGTTAGGTTCTTGCTTTATATTATTACATTATGTATTTTATTATTATTCTTTAGAAGAATAATTAATTTATTTATTTTACAGCCTGACCGCAGTTTCCCCTCCCTCTTTTTCTACCATTCCCTCCCTCCACTTCCCCTCTAACTCCCCCCAATCTATTCCTCCTCCATTTCTGTTCAGAATGGGGCAGGCCTCCCATGGATATCAACAAAATATGGCATATCAAGTTGCAATAAGACTAAACACCTCCCCTTGTATTAAGGCTGAGCAAGGCAACCCAGTATGAAGAGTAGGTTCTCCAAAGCCAGCCAAAGCAATAGGGACAGACCCTGCTCCCATTGTTAGGAGTCGTGCAAGTAGACCAACTACACAACTGTAATATATGCAGAGTGCCTAGGTTAGTCCCACGCAGGCTTCCTGGTTTATGGTTCAGTCTCTGTGAGTTCCTATGAACCCAGGTTAGTTGATTCTGTGGGTTTTCTTGTGGTGTCCTTAACCTCTCAGGTTCCTACAATCCTTCCCTCTTTTCAACAGGATTTCCCAAGCTTGTCCTAATGTTTGGCTGTGGATCTCTGCATTTGTTTCTGCCAGTTACTGGATGAAGTCTCTCTGCTGACAACTGGGGTAAGTACCAATCTATGAGTATGGCAGAATATCATTAGATGTTATTCATTACATTGACTTTTTTCTCCAGTTGTGTTTTGTTCTATTATAGGTCTCTGGGTCATCCAGCCTGTGGGTCCTGGTGCTCCAGTCAGTGTCAGGGGTGGACTTGTTCTCCTTAAATTGGTTTTAGTCTAAACCAGTCATGCCTGTTTGTTTTCTGTTGAGAGATAGAAAGAGGATAGATCAAGATTGGAGGGGATGCAGGGAGGAATTGGAAGGTGTAGAGGGAAGGGAAACCATAATCAGGATATATTATATATTAAAAGCCCTTAGAAGTCTGTTTTCTTTTTTGTTTTTTGTTTTTTTGTTTTTGGTTTTTCGAGACAGGGTTTCTCTGTGGCTTTGGAGGCTTTCCTGGAACTCACTTAGTAGTCCAGGCTGGTCTCGAACTCACAGAGATCTGCCTGCCTCTGCCTCCCGAGTGCTGGGATTAAAGGCGTGCGTCACCACTGCCCGGCAGAAGTCTGTTTTCTAATGAGAGATATAAATGGAGTAGCTGGATGGGAGGGGATGTAGGAAAGAACTGGAAAGAGTAGAGGGAAGGGAAATTGTCTTTTCCTTTTTTAATTACTACAGAAATCATAATCGTGAAATATTATATGAGAAAAGAATCTCTTCAATAAAAGGAAAAATAAATGGAACACTATGAAACCTTAAAAAATAAATAAATCCCATTCCTTGGTATGGAAGACTTCAGGGTATATACTCAGGTGTGGAATTGGGCTCTTGACATGGGAAGTGGCACCATTGCTGGCTATGGCTCAGTGAGTTTTCAAAGAGGTTGTACCAGTGCACAGTTCCATGCCTCATATGAGGGTCCCCCCATGTTCCATATCTTCAACACTTGCTAATGTCAAACTTTAAAGTTGTTGCCAAGCTAATGGGTGTGAAATGGCATTTCAGAGTTTTAATGTGCAATTCTCTGTTTACAAATCAGGGAGACAAAAACATACTTAAACATACTTTGTTTATTGGACATTTGGCTTTACTTTTTTCTAAGTTAGCCATTGGTTTATTTGTCAGTGTTTTTATTGGTTCATGTATAGGAATTCTTTATTATAGTTATTAATCTTTTTTTCAGGCTGTGGCCCATTTGGTATCTTTATTCCATACAGCCGCAATTTTAAATTCATGTGATTATTTGATGAAGGTCATATTTTCCTCTTAGACTGTAAGTCCATGAGAAGAAGGACTGTCCCTAGTAATAAATGCAGTATTTTACATACCAGGAAGTCAATAAATACCTCGGACTGAACAAAAACAGAAAAGCTACATGTACAATTAAAATTACTTAGTCCCAATTAACATACCTATTACCAAAAATAAGAACTATAGTTAGTGAGGCTTTTTAAAAGGTCTCCCAGGAAACTATTCTGCTTTACAAGAATCAAAGAGCATCTCTTAAACCAGGGGGTTGTTCCCATGTGCAACCTCAGTACTCAGGAGGCAGAGTTTAAGGGCAGCCACAGCTACCTCTGTGTGATCTACAGAATGAGACCTTGTCTTCCCCCTTCCTTGCCAAATGCCTCATATACAGAAGATGGGAAGACTATAAATGCACCCAAAAGAATGGGATTGTCATGCCATAGTAATGGGACTAGAAAACAATCAGAAGGAAATGGCTTGATTTGCATTTTCTTGCCTTAGAGAAGGAGAATCTAACAGAAACCACATAGAACATATCTGGAATAATCAAGCATCTTGGAGACTAAGGCAGAAGGATCAGATATTCATGTCTGTCCTTAGGTACATTACAAGTTGATGACAGCCTGGGCTACATGAGACCTGGTGTCAAAAATATTACTTCACTTAATGAGGTATTTTATCAGTCCCATCAATGAACTTGAAAAGGTCATTTTTTTCATTTTTCATTATGGTTAGATAAAATCCCATCCTTCCTATGTATCATGTTTTCATTGTCCACTCATCAGTTGATGGACCTCTAAGTTGATTCCATTTCTTTGTTGTTATGAATAGAGCACCAATAAAAACTGTGTGTGCTAGTTTATCTGTGTCTTTTATGCTTAGGAGTGGTAGAGCTAGGTATTATGACAATTCTATATTCATTTTTTAGAAACATCCATATTTATTTCCTTATTGGCTGCCTCCCAACAGCAGTGAATAGAGGCCAGGAAACCTGAAAGGGAAAAGAAGAGAATTTAAATGGTATGGGGATGGTAATAGAATGAATTGGATATAAAAGTGGAAGAAGGTGAATTAGGAGAGGAATAGATGGAGATAGGAGGCATAGGGACACAGGGAGGCACGGGGACATGGGGAGAAAAATGGAGGGGAAATAAACTAAAATGACATATGTGTGTGTATGTCATAAGTATTTCACTGTATGTAGTAATTTAAAATTTTTAAAACAAAAATACAATGATATCTGGGTGTGATAGTTTAATCACAAAAAGGTTTAGTAATACTACAATAGGGTTTGTGTATATTTAATAGATTATGTTAATAAATATTTCATCCAGGGTATACAGGAACAGAGTATAATCTAAATATCTAGATGAATGGACAAATTAATTTGTTATCAGTGAGATTGATTTAGTAGTTGGGTATAGTGGTACACTGCTAATATCAGTATTCAAGAGGCTGAAGCTGGAATATGTTGAGTTCCAGGACAAGGGCTTCATATCAAGTTCCATATCACACTGACCTATATAGCAAAATACCTCTCAATAACACACACACACACACACACACACACAGAGAGAGAGAGAGAGAGAGAGAGAGAGAGAGAGAGAGAGAGAGAGAGAGAGAGAGAGATCAGATATCAGATCAGGAAGGAGACTACCCTGGAGCAGCCTGGGTACCATAGAGAGACCCTGTCTTAAAATAAACAGGATTGATCTACTTGGTCATTTCACTTGGAAATTTGTTCTAGGTGTTGAACACTGAGGTACAATATAAAACAATGATATAAAATGAGTAAGTACAAACTTTGCCAGTAATCATAGCTCTAATAACAATAAAAGTGAGTCCATGACTACGTAGCCCCATATATGTAATTCTTTAATGTTCAATCAAACAATAACTTTAAATGCTTCAGAGGGAAAGAGGTCAAAAGAAAAAGGTGGCTAAACTAAGGAATTTGCAGACTTTGTCTTCTGCATCCTTGAAAACAACTCCCCACCCCCTGCTCTGCCTCTAACCTCTATCAGCTTTCTTTCATGCTTTTTTTAAGGTATTCCCATTACACAGTAATCTTGTAGATGAAAATTTTTTATCGCAAGCCTTACCATTTGCTACTTGACTGCACTGTTTTTATCTGATAGTCTGCACGCACTGTACTACCAAATCTTCTGTAGTTGCACTTGCCAAGAACACTATGTGTTCAAGACTTTGTGAACAGATGACTTCTTAATTAGTACAAAAATTTACCTTTTAATGTAAGCATTCCTAGTCTCCAAGTTTCTAGTCACTATTTCAATATTTCAACATCCTTTCTGTTCTGTAATACTCTTTGAAGTGTGCATGCGTGCGTGTGTGTAAGCGTGTGTGTGTGTGTGTGTGTGTGTTGTAGTGAACATTCCTAGCATCCAAATTTCTAGTCATTCTATTTCAATATTTCAACATCCTTTCTGTTCTGGAATATTCTTTGAAGTGTGGGTGCATGTGCGTGCGTGTGTGCCTGTGTGCATGTTGTAGTAAACATTCCTAGTCTCCAAATTTCTAGTCATTCTATTTCAATATTTCAATGCTTTCTCCTCTGGGTTACTGTTTGAAATTTGTGCATGCAGGTGTGCATCCCTGTGCTACTGAAATAATAAGTATGACACTGCTGAAGGTAAATTTATCTAAAGAAAAAATTTCTCAGGTTTTATAATAAACCCTAAGTACAGGCCCCAACCAATAGCTAACACTGGCTCTAAACAAAGAATAGAAAGAATAAAATGTGCACTGGCTAAATATGAGCCCACCTGAAGTGCAAGAACAAGAAAAATGTGCTATTAAGCTCCTAGAAACCAAGAAAATTCAGCTGGTCAGTGTGTCACTTCCAGAGCCAAATGGAGCCAGTAAATCTCTGTCTAATATGTATGAGCAGTGGGAGAAGGAATAGTGCTCCCAGTGAGGACAGCAGAATTCTCCAACACATGTTCATTGGGATAAACTTTGAATTTGTCACATTTACTAGTTTTGTCCTTCTATATTGATACAAAAACTCATACTTTACCAGTGGGCAATATTCCTATGGGTTAGACTGCTCTGAGGTACTATTTTATAGCACAAATTTACTTTTAAGTATAACTAACATTGCTGAAAACCTAACAAGTGCAAATATCGCAGTGCATTGGCAATTGACAAACATGTTCATCTTGGGGATTCTAAAGCAAGAAGGAACCATATGATATTCCCTGGAGGACTCATAACAGGAGGGTCAGGCTACACCAGTTATTTTCTTTATTTAATTTGAATAGATGCTGCCATGATTTTCCAGCGCAGATATACAGGAACCTGTTCACAAGGCCTTCAGCTCAGGTTTTGACATACGCGCTATCCTCCTTACAACACACGGTCAGATAGTCACAGCTTACTTCCCACTCTGTCCCTAGTTGTGCCATCTTAAGTTCCATGATTGTTCCAAACTGGTTTCATCTTGTTTAATATGTGACTCCTCTTAATACTTATTTCTTAGAGTTGATAGAAGCAACTAAATCAATACTGTTGTCCACATGAAAATCAGTCATGTATGAATTTCAAGTAAAATTTGCAAAAGAAGTAAGTATAAGGAAAGCTAATACTATGATATATGAAGTTATGCTTAAAGGAAGTATAAGAGGGTATGTGGTAGTAACTTTTGTAGGTATATATAAGCATCAAATGAAGACATAACACAGATGGAAAGAAAGGAAAATAAGGTCCAAATAATCTATAAGGTAGTTTTAGATTATTTGTGGCCCACTGGTGTATATGTATATAGACTAGAAATTTAGCATGGATTCTCTACAATCTGGT